CCTTCTGTGAGTGGATTTTGAGTGTCTGCTATCCTGTCAGCAGCTGGAGTGTCTTCAGTATTGGTAGGTTTAGGAGTAATAGGTGGTACTGCAATGATGAAAGTGGGAGATATGTAAATTTTTTGAGTTAAGCCAAAAGGAGTCACTCAGAAGTGGGTTATCTGTAGCTACTGAGGGAGTGACTATGTATCAGTACTGAGTAGTTATAGACCCCCTAGGCGCTAAGATTATTTTCAATGAATATGATTACAATAATAATATTCATTCATAATAAATAAAAATTTTCTGTACGGTATCCACTCCCGATGTAAATTACTGACGGCAAGAAGGCCTCGAGATCAAAAAAATCAAAGGCAGTGACACCCCCTGGCCATTTTTCTGAGCGCTACAAGGTACTACAGGCTTACAAGCAGCATTTATGGAAAGTATGAAGGCCAGACTACATCATATAAGCCAGGTAACTGTTGCTGCAGCATAGTTTTCTTGCTATGCTTCATTTCGGCACCTTGGGCTTTGATCTGCCTTTGATGTGGAGAGCTTCTTGCCGTCAGTAATTTTAATCGTGGGTGGCTACCGTAAATAATTCATACAAAATAGTCTTAGCGCCTAGGGGGGTCTATAATGTCAGAATAACATTGTGGTTATGGTATATTAAAATGTAGAATAATGCCATGTATTAGCTTACAAGTTGCAAAGTTTTTTTGAATTCATCCTATATAATTTTTTGCGAGGAAAACTGTACAAAGAGCTGTATTCTTATTGTGGGTATATGTATGAGTAAGCCTGAGAGTGCATGAGAACAGTTTATACCTATAGTAACACGTCCCAGCCCAATAGTTATTACATGTTCTAATAATGGTGTATAGAAACCTATGTAATGAGTAAGCATAGTTTGTTTGCCGTGGTCATACCCAATAAAATAGATAATCATAAGCCTTACCTTGAAAATATCTTTCAAGCCCATCAGCTACATCATTCTGTCCTATCTCCCTCAGTGCTTGTATTAATGTCTCATAAGTTGGAACACCTTTACTCTTTACATTATCTTTTTGTTCCAACCATGCCCTCAAGCACTCTATTAGACATAAACGAGCATTTCCTTTGTCCTTTTTCTCAATATCATCAAGTGTGTCAGGGGACAGACCCAAACTAAGACCAAGTTTATGATAATCAACACCAGAATATCCTTGCCTCCTTAGTAAATCAACTACCTCAATAAGATAATGAGGATCTAATGGAAAGAATAATTCATTAATTGAGAATAGCAGGCTCAATATACAGTAACTAACCTAGTGGACGTGGCTGGAGTAGCATTGATTTTCTTGAAAAAGGAGCTGCCATGTTTAAACTTGTCTTTGCTTAAGTTTGCTGTGACTGTTAGCAAGAGAGCTGTTATCAAACCAATAAATGGTTTATGATCAAACTCATAAATCATGTGGGCAGAGATCATGAATCTCATTAGTCTCTAGATTATGATTTTTTAGTACAACAAAAATACACATTCTTAAAACAAACAAAAACAAGGAAAAAAGAACGCAAGACAAGAAGAAATACATTAACTGAGAGAATGAAAGAGATAAAGAGACCAATCACTAGATTCATTCATTCAATACAGTCTCCAGATATCATCCTCATTCATAGGTCCTGTATCAGTAGTAGTCTCACTGCTCCCTATACATTATTAAGAGCTTCAGTAGCATAGTCCTTAGTTACATTATGTATTATTAAATCATTAACTGCTACCAGTTCATCTCCAGTCTTTATCTTTGAGTCTTTCTGTAACACTGACTCAGGTAGGATCCTCTTTACGTAAATGGGTACGTCCCTAGTGGGAGAGCCACGCCCACCAACGATACTGAGACCCAACCCCTGACCAGGGGAGAGTCCCACTATAATTATGATAGAAAAAAGAGATGATGAGAGAAAGAGAGGGAGTGAGAAAACAGAATTATACTTACATGTATTTAAAGACCTTGTACTAGAGTACAGGGTAGCTTGTCAAAATTGCCAGAAGAGAATTCTTCATTTTTTCTAAATATGGATCCAGTTGTCATAGCGTATACCATAAAGCGGGTAA